AAGGACAAGAATCGATCTACTCCAAACCGGACCCGGACGCTTACACTTGCATTAGATCCTATTTAAAAAGAGGGAGAAAAAATAATAATTATAAATTAAAGAGGAGAATAAATAATACTTAATAATTATAAATTAAAGATTCAGGGTCAAACAATGTAAAATTATTTTGTATAATAGAATATAAAATTTACATTATTTTGTATAAGAGAATATAAAATTTGTATGTTTAATATTAAGAACGCCTAAAATATTATATTAGTATATGTAATAGTATTCAAATTTTTCTATATTATTTTTGAAAGATGTGAAATCACCTACAACTTTTCTAAATAATTTTAGAAGAAAAACATATGTAAAAACATTTGAATTTAACATTGTGTAAAAAAAAATTCTAGATTATTTTGTAAATAAAACATGTCTACATATATTTAAATTTAACATCAATTATGTGTATGTGTATATGTATATATATAGACGAATATGTAAAAAAATGTCTAAACAATTTGTTTCAAGTATCTAAAATATTATAAGTCTTATTTAATAAAATCATACCGAATTTATGGTGTTCCATCTAAAAATATTTGATTACACACAATTTGAAAATTATTAGTTTTGATACCAAAAATAATTACAAATATTTATTTTGATACCAAAAAAACAGGAAAGAGAATAACAAATTCTACCCAATAAATCAGTCGAGCCTAAAGCTTGGCATGGCCGTTTCTTCCTCATTGTTACCCTATCTACCCAACCAATAAATCAGCCTTTGACTATCCTATCTACCAAAAAAAGGAAAGACAATTGCTAAGTTTTAGGATACTGTTAATGAAAGACAATTGACGGGTGATTATATATTTATATATATTGGCGGGAAAAATTGGCGGGAATCCTTAAAAAATTATTCTTTATAGACTTTTTTTTTATCTTTTATAACCCTCACGAGACAATTGATAATGTTTTGTATATTATCTAGGATTGGTAAAATATTGACCTAAAAAAGTCCGAAACTAACGGTCACAGGAAAATGTCCCCTTAACAAACGCCACTACAATTGATTTAATTCCAACTAATATTTTATATAATTAATTAATTACTATAGTTAGTAATAATTAATATATATAGTATAGTATATAGTTTATAAAGTCAAAAATGAAATCCAAGAAAAGTTTGTGAGGTGTTACAATTGATTCGGCCGCCGATCGCGTGATGATTGTTCTAAAAGAGAAATGTCCGATAATCACACTACAAATTTTGGTCGGATTATTATCAATTTTTTTTCTTTAATATATATATACTAGTACAACGCCCGTGTATTACACGGGTGCTTGCTAATTTTTTCTTAAAATCTAAAATTAATGAGAAAAAAATAATTGAAAATTTAAATATCTTTTATATATAATATATATATATATATATATATATTATTATATATTTAGTATGACACTTTTTATTTGTGCAACTTACATGTGTTATATTATAATAATTTTTTTAACTTACAACATATAACTACATTAATCATAAATATATCAATTGAGAAATAATTTTATTTTTTTAATGAATTTTAATAAATATTATTATTTTTTATTATTATAAATATAAATATAATTTATTTATTTCATATACACTATGGATGTCAAATCGAAGATCATCAAAAGATGATTAATTTGATATATTATATATGTAAAACCGATACGAAATACAGAAGTTATCGACTTTTAAAATAAATTTATAATTCAATAGCTAATTGAAGGAAACAAATCAAAAGTCATGGATATATTAGTCACTCAGTGCCTTAGTATGTAAAATTACAAAGAAATAAGGAGGTATAATAGTACAAGTGATATTAAAGTACCTAAGTTAGATAAATAATATTTATGGAATGTCCAAACCTAAATGATTAATTATTAATATATCAATATTATTTGTCCAAACCTAATTACGAAGCATGATTCTTTGTCAAGTAGGATTCCAAAGCACCAGAAGCAGCCACGTAGGCTCAGCGCATTCGGGAACAATATATAAGGTGGATAGGGAAGTGGTACAGTCCCGTTAGGGAACCATTTCATCGAAATTTGTAACCATTAGATCGTCATGTAACCGTAATGAATAATTGATCTAACGGTTACAAACCTCGACATAATAGTCCTGTAACATAATCGTAAAATCTTCCATATGTATATTTGTCAATTTTTGTGAAAAAACTCTGAAGATATAATGTGATAATTCCAAAAGATGCGTTCTTTTTTTTTTATTATTATTTTCTTTTTGAATAAAAGAAGTTTAAGAAAAACTATTGGCAACTTGATTCCTACGTAGTATTCAGTAGTTGATATTACATATGTTCAATGACGTCAGCAGATACTTTGTGACGTCACTAGATACCATAAGATCCCAAATGAGTGAGATTCACTTTTCAAATGAGTTTGTGTTTTCATCTTCATTGAGTGAATGCAATTATTTTACAATTATACACATAATTTTATCTAATAGAATATAAAACTTAAATTGCAACATGATTTTTATTGGTGAGTTGTTGCTAAATAAACAAATAATAATGAGTGTGAATATGTTACTTGTTTGAGATGATTTTACCATTATAATATTATCTAATGAAATAAAACA